AATGTTGTCGAACATGCCCACCGAAGAAAAGGGTTTCCCAGGAAGATTTTGGGCTGAAGCAATGCGAACTGCTGCCCATGTGATCAATAAACTTCCCCAACCAAGGTTAGGATTCATCTCACCATTTGAGACAATATGGAACATGAAACCTACTGTTAGCTACTTTCGAGTATTTGGTTGTGTCTGCTACGTATTTGTACCTAGTCATTTACGTAGCAAGTTTGACAAGAAAGCAGTCATGTGTATATTGGTTGGATATGACAATCAAGAAAAGGATGGAGGTGTTGTGATCCACAAGCGGAAGATGCTACACTTCAAGAGATGTAGTGTTCGATGAAGCATCTTCATGGTGGTCCTTAGAGAAGAAAGTATTACCAGACTCGGAAAATATTGAAGAAGTTTAAAACAAAATGGGGGAGCAAACTGCACACATTTGGTCAAGTGTTGATACAACCTGAAGATCCGAGCGACAACTGATGTCATTGAGCAAGAAGTAACTCAAACAAGTAATACCGGTGAAAGGGAGACGCCGCCTCCACAACTTCGAAGGACGGAAAGAATCCGAAAACCTAATCCCAAGTATGCTAATGCAGCTATTTTAGAAGATGGTGTTAAAGAGCCGGAGACATATGAAGAAGCAATTAAGATAAGCTTGGCAGAAGGCAATGGAAGAAGAAGTTACAGCCTTAAAGCATAATCAAACGTGGGAACTGGTACCAAGACCAAGAGATATAAAACCCATTTCCTGCAAGTGGTTTTAAATTAAAGCGAGCGACGCACAATGGATCAATTGAAAAGATACAAGGCTCGTTTGGTGGCTCGAGGGTTCTCACAACAATATTGACTGGACTATGATGAAACATTTAGTCCAGTGGCGAAGATAACTACTGTACGGGTGCTGCTAGCTCTTGCAGCTAGTAAAGACTGGAAATTATGGCAGATGGATGTGAAGAATGCTTTCCTGCATCGAGAATTAGATCGGGAGATCTACATGAACCAACCAAAGGGATTTGAGGATGCAGTTAATCCCACTCATGTGTGCAAGCTGAGAAAAGCTCTTCACGGATTGAAGCAGGCACCAAGAGCCTGGTATGGTAAGATTGCTGAATTTCTTACCCGAAGTGGTTATTCAGTTGCACATGCAGACTCAAGCCTGTTTGTTAAAGAAAAAGAAGGGAAGTTGGCAATTGTGTTGGTTTATGTGGATGACTTGATCATCACCGGGGATGACGAAAGAGAAATCCATCAAACAAGAGAAAATCTATCGGTGCGATTCCAAATGAAAGAGCTGGGGGAGCTTAAACACTTCTTGGGGTTAGAAGTTGATCGTACAAAGGAAGGGTTGTTCCTCTGCCAACAAAAGTAACAAGAGATATACTTCAAAAGTTTGGCATGTTTGGAGTGTAAGCCAGTATCAACACCAATAGAGCCAAATACCAAGATATGTGCTCATGAAGGAAAAGAGTTGGACGATGGAACGATGTATCGACAACTAGTAGGTAGTCTTATCTACCTAACTTTATCTCGGCCTGACATTGCTTATGCAGTTGGAGTTATGAGTCGATACATGCAAAATCCGAAGAAACCTCATTTGGATGCTGCCCGACGGATCTTAAGATATGTCAAAGGTACAATTGACTATGGCCCCTTGTATAAAAAAGGAGAAGACTGCAAGTTGGTTGGATATTGTGATGCTGACTATGCAGAGACCATGATACCCGAAGATCAACCACTGGGTATGTGTTCAAGCTTGGGTCGGCCCAATATCATGGTGTAGTAAAAGACAACCAACCGTATCATTGTCAACCACAGAAGCGGAGTACAAAGCAGCGGCCGTAGCAGCTCAAGAAGTACATGGTTGGTACTCCTAATGGAGGACTTACATCAAAAAGTTGACTATGCGGTACCACTCTCACTGCGATAACCAATCTGCAATTCGGCTGGCAGAAAATCCAGTATTTCATGCTAGAACAAAGCATGTGGAAGTGCATTATCACTTTATCAGAGAGAAAGTCTTGATGGAAGAAATTGAGATGCGACAGCTCAAGACCGATGACCAAATAGCAGACTTGTTCACCAAAGGACTGAGTATTGGAAAATGTGAAGGTTTCGCTGTCAGCTTAACATGGTACGAAGAATGAGGGCTAGTGCTGAGGGGGAGTGTTAAAGATCATCACTAGCCCAATAGAACAAATATTATCTAGAAGACTTTAGCTTGTTCTAGAACGCTCTAGAAGATTCTAGAACATTATGGAAGACTATGGAAGACTCCGGAATATACCGGAAGAGTCTAGAATACTCTAGAACGACATGGAAGAACCTGGAAGGTTATGGATCATTCTAGAAGACACTGGAGCAACCTAGACCTCTCCGGAACATGGTAGAATATTCTAGAAACATATGGAAGCATATATATTATGTTAGATAGTTCTAGAGTTATCTAGTAGGTAGTAAGTGTATACTAGTATCTAGAACCTTCCTAAGAGGCCTATAAATAGGTGTGGAGCTCATTTGCTCCAAACCATCCAAGAAAGCCTCAAAGAGAGCAAAGTGTGTAGTAGTGTCACAAAGTGTAAGGTCTTCTTAAGTGTCTTAATAAAAGTCCTTTTGTTTCCCATACAAAGAGTCGTGTTCAACATCATTGTTTTTCCTTATGTGTATATGGTGATTTAGGAGATCGGGGACATGTTTTGTTGACCGCTCAATTAACATGAGATGAGTTGAGCTGAGATAAACTGATCGTAACAGTTAATGTCATTAGAAGTTGTTTTTCTCTCTTGTTCTAGAAGCTTTGATTAGAAAAATATTCAAAAAAAAACTTGCAATTTTTTAGAAGTGACCTCATTTTTTTATAAATAACATCATTTCTGCAAAATATGCACAAAAAAAAAAACCATTTTGTGGAAAGAGTGGTTCATGACTTATATTTTATTCGCAATACATATGGCCTTTTGTAAAAGTTTAAAATATGACAGCTTGGTGTTATTCACTTGTCTCTCTTTTGGCCATTTTTTTGCTTATCTCAAGAAATAACTCTAAATGATAATAACAACAAATTTCTAAATCATCTGTTTCTTCCTTATCCGTCTAGTGCACTAAGGCTTGTGCATTCATTCAGTTTGGATTCTTTTGAAGGACCATAGGAAGTCTTCTCCATTGACCCATTAACTTAGAGTGGACCCAAAGAACATTAATTTCTGAAAAAAATTCTTTCTTTTTCATTTAGTCTTCAAATAACGACCATACCTATAAAAAGATTGAAAATTCAGTTGACGATGACTTTTTCATGGCAACTTTTGCTGTCATACCTTTCCAGTTTACAAAATAAAATCTTGTGTTTTCAAAAATTAGTTTCGTCTGTAATTTTAAACAATAATAACAAAACCAATTTGATTTCAAAAAGCAACTATGCATAATTTGATCAATTTGATAGTATAGTACGTTTGCTTTTAGAATAAAACTTGATTTAAAAATTACTTGGACAAAAAAATAAATATGTGTAACAATTTGATTGAAGTTATAGTGCACTTCTAATTCATATAAAAAAATCTGTCGCTAGGTCTGAAATATGAGAAACAAACAATAATACGTCGATGCAAGTATGAGACGTTTTAGACTGAAGGAGATAAAATAAATTAATAAATGAAATTATTGCAAGCAACAGTAACAACCCTCAGTTTTTTTATTTAAATATCTTCATATTTATCTTCTTTTCACCCATACACACGTTTAAGGAATACACCATGTCCAATTCTTAATTCTGATTCTTTTGAAAGTCCCTTCAGTCCCTATCTCCAGTGACCACTTTACAGAATTTGGACGTGAGAATCATCTAAATAATAGTCATTAGTTACAGAATAGATTTCTGAAGTAAAACACACTCTGAGTGAAACTTGTATTACCATTTATCAGAAAACAAAAATAAAATTTCTAAATAATAATCACTTAAGTTTTATTATTACACTCTTAAATCTAACAATAACATATAACACCCCATGTTGTTTTTCTGCAAAGATAGTGCCTTGCTAAATTTCGGGTTACAATGAATTTCATTGATCTAAGAAAAAAAGATTAATATCATGACAGATGCAATTCAAAGTCTAATACACTTCATTGTAGAAAGAAAATATTACACCATCTTCTAACGGAAAAGACACTCCATGTGGAAAAATATAACATTTCCCAAATTTACTTTTCAAATACTTGAAAATAAGAAAACAAGAGAAAATAGTAGCTCAAGTATAAATAATTAGGACATGTAAACCATCATTTTTTATTAAAAGTAACATGGAAAAGCAAATAATATCTTCTTCAAACTTCTTATTATTCTCTCTAGTTCTACTAATCAACACACTCTTATCCATACCAAATTTCGCTTCTGCTTCTTTGGAGGAAGCCAATGCTCTTCTTAAATGGAAATCAAGCCTTGAAATCCCAAACAATTCCTTACTCTCTTCATGGCTTCCCCTTCCTATGAGTTCCAGTGCATTGATTCCATGCAATTCCTGGTTGGGAGTAGTTTGCAATGCTGACGGGAGCATTCAGAAGTTGAACCTCACATCATCTAGCATTGATTCCATGCAATCAACTTAGTGGTTCTATTCCTTCATCACTAGCAAACTTGAGCAACCTACAGAGTCTGTTCTTACGCCACAATAAATTATCTGGTTTGATTCCACAAGGATTGGGAAGTCTATACTTGGTTGTGCTAGAAATAGATGAAAATCAATTGTCTGGCCATTTGCCTAAGGTTTGTGTGATAGGGGAAAGCTTCAAAGTTTAACGGTACACGATAATCAACTCACTGGTTCTATTCCAAGGGACTTAAGAAATTGTTCTAGCTTAATAAGATCTTGTTTTGATCATAATCATTTCAGTGGAGATATATCAAATAGCTTTGGGTATATCCTAGCTTAAATTACCTTGATATCAGTCACAATAATTTTCATGGGCAGCTTTCTCAAAACTGGAGTAAATGCAAGAATTTGACAGCCTTAGTGATGGCCTATAACAACAGCACCGGTGGCATACCACCACAGTTTGGAAATTCAACTCAACTACAAAGGCTGGATCTTTCTTTTAATCATTTGACTGGTGAGATTCCAAAGGAGTTTGGGAAGATGAATAGTATGTTGAAATTGTCCTTGGCTGATAACCACCTTTCAGGAATTATACCTCTAGAGATTGGATCTTGTGAACTCCTTGAAGTACTCGATCTATCCACAAATAGATTGAATTGGTCAATACCAAAAAGTAGTAGCCAATGGGAACATATCCACTACTTGAATCTTAGTAATAACATGCTGAATGAGAAAATTCCATCGGAGATTGGTAAAGTAGTTCAACTTACGGTACTTGATTTATCTCATAATTTGCTCACAATAGCGATACCATCTGAAGTTCAAAGTTTGAAAAATCTACAAAAATTGAATCTTTCTCACAATAGACTATATGGTTCTATTCCTAATACTTTTACAATTTTGCGTAGTGGGATTGATATCAACCTGTCTTTCAATGAGCTCTAAGGTTCGGTTCCCCCATGCGCCAACTTTATGAATGCATCCATACAAGGTAATCCAGGTTTGTGTGGAAATGTCACGGGAGTAAAACTTTGTGCAAGTCAAATTATCAAGAAGAAAAACTATATGTTTCATCATAAGCTCTTCCTTGTAATTATGCTCCCTCTTATCGGGGCAGTTTTACTTGGTTTTTTCATGTGTGGCCTCATTGCTTATCGAAACCAAAAGAAAAACTCTCCACAGAAACCATTGGAAGAAGAAAGTGGTGATTATTTCACCATTACAAATTTTGACGGAAAAGTAGTGTGCGATGATATCTTGAAGGCAACAAATGATTTCGATGAAGCATACTGTATTGGGACCGGAGGATATGGGACTGTTTACAAAGCGAAGCTACAACCTAACAATGTGGTAGCTGTCAAGAAACTTCATTCATCATCTGAGAATGTTGATCATAATGGATTTCTTAATGAGATACGAGCATTAACGAACATAAGGCATCGACAGATAGTGAAACTTTATGGATATTGCTCATATGCCCGCCACTCAATTTTGATTTATGAATACCTTGAAAACGGAAGCCTTGGATCAATCTTAAGAAGTGATGTCTTAGCAAAAGAATTGGATTGGTTGAAAATGGTCAATATTGTAAAGGCTATAGCTAATGGTTTGGCTTATATGCATCACGACTGCTCACCTCCTATAACTCATAGACACATTTCCATTGCCAACATCCTTCTTGATTCTGATTATGAGGCACATATTTATGATTTTGGCACATCCAAGCTTTTAAAGCTAGACTCATCCAGTTGGACCGCAATTGTTGGGACCTATGGTTATATCGCACCAGGTAACATAATATTGTGATTGTAGTTCTACATCTTCATAAAATCATGTGGGGTTAATATCACATTTTTTTGTTTTTATTTTATGTTTGTTTGGATATAGAGCTTGCTTATATGATGGTGGCAACCAAGAAATGTGATGTGTATAGCTTTGGCATTGTTGCACTAGAAGTGATGATGGGAAAGCATCCTGGTGAACCACGAACATTGTCTGCTGATTATCTGGTGTTAGCAAATGTTGGAGATAGTCGGATTCCACTTCCTTCACCACAAGGTGAGAAACAAGTAAATTTAGTACTCAATCTCTCAAGAGCATGTTTGAACTCGAATCCACAAGAAAGGCCAACAATGCAGAAAATGTTGGAGATAGTCAGATTCCACTTCCTTCACCACAAGTTGAGAAACAAGTAAATTTAGTACTCAATCTCTCAAGAGCATGTTTGAACTCGAATCCACAAGAAAGGCCAACAATGCGCCAAGTTTCAAATCTGTTGATGAAGGCTTGATATTAGTGTACTTTCAATGTTATTTGCTTTTATCATGTTCCTTATATGCATCCTGATAATGTCTTTATTTAAATGCCTTTTGTTATGTAACTTTTAGTATGTTTTCTTAAATCATTATGCAGTAGATAAACAAATAAATCAGTGAAGATCGCCATCCTTTTAGAATCTTCACTTCTGGAAAATCAAGTATTGGTCAAGGACAAATCTATCGCTTAATACCCTTCATGACTGATTAGCTAAATAAACTTTCTTCGTAATTTAGCAACGACCTTTCACTTGCTTTGTTTTAAGGTGTAATTTATTAACAAGTTTTTCCATCACTTGGATTTCCAATAAATGTAACAAGTAGCAAAAATAACAATGGTAGATTACTTACATACGATAAATCATTTTCTACAATGTATGTCAAACAAATAACGACTAAAATACAAACTCCAATAGAGTTTTAAACAATATATAGAGAACATTTGCAATTTGTATCGGTTGCAATTCATCTTAATTCCAAATACGAAATTCCTATTAATTGCATGTTGGTGCTGGTCAGCAACCAGTGGAGTTTTACTGTAAGAGATGTGGAATAATTAGTTACCCTGAAAAAATTTCAACAAAAATAAAACAAAAGTTAAAATTAAACTATTGTGTTTTCTGTATTTACTTTGGCCATCAAACTCTATACCATAAAATTCAAATTCAAGAGAGTTGCCAAAGGTTGTAGGCAAGTCGGTAACATAATTTTATGATTTTGATGCTATATACCCCCTATGCTACATAACTCATTTATATATACAAATTTTGTATTAGGAAATAGATATTTATATTTTATATCTTATAGATAAAATTTGTCTTTACAAAGATGACAGCTTTAAATATTAAAAACAAGTTTTGCATTTCAAAGCAATTTACACGCAATCGGCTGTTAATTGGAATGGAAGACGTGCTACTAAAAAACCAAACAGAGTACCTTTAGTATCTGCTTACTCTCTTTGTCTGAAGTCAAAGTTGACTCTTTCTTTTCTACACATTAAATCAATTAATGTTATATCCATGTCATGCCATATTCCTATATGGATTACCCACAATGAGGTAATCGTGTATATATGATGTATATAGTATAATGAAGGCTTGATATTAGTGTACTTTCAATGTTATTTGCTTTTATCATGTTCCTTATATGCATCCTGATAATGTCTTTATTTAAATGCCTTTTGTTATGTAACTTTTAGTATGTTTTCTTAAATCATTATGCAGTAGATAAACAAATAAATCAGTGAAGATCGCCATCCTTTTAGAATCTTCACTTCTGGAAAATCAAGTATTGGTCAAGGACAAATCTATCGCTTAATACCCTTCATGACTGATTAGCTAAATAAACTTTCTTCGTAATTTAGCAACGACCTTTCACTTGCTTTGTTTTAAGGTGTAATTTATTAACAAGTTTTTCCATCACTTGGATTTCCAATAAATGTAACAAGTAGCAAAAATAACAATGGTAGATTACTTACATACGATAAATCATTTTCTACAATGTATGTCAAACAAATAACGACTGAAATACAAACTCCAATAGAGTTTTAAACAATATATAGAGACATTTGCAATTGTATCGGTTGCAATTCATCTTAATTCCAAATACGAAATTCCTATTAATTGCATGTTGGTGCTGGTCAGCAACCAGTGGAGTTTTATTGTAAGAGATGTGGAATAATTAGTTACCCTGAAAAAATTTCAACAAAAATAAAACAAAAGTTAAAATTAAACTATTGTGTTTTCTGTATTTACTTTGGCCATCAAACTCTATACCATAAAATTCAAATTCAAGAGAGTTGCCAAAGGTTGTAGGCAAGTCGGTAACATAATTTTATGATTTTGATGCTATATACCCCCTATGCTACATAACTCATTTATATATACAAATTTTGTATTAGGAAATAGATATTTATATTTTATATCTTATAGATAAAATTTGTCTTTACAAAGATGACAGCTTTAAATATTAAAAACAAGTTTTGCATTTCAAAGCAATTTACACGCAATCGGCTGTTAATTGGAATGGAAGACGTGCTACTAAAAAACCAAACAGAGTACCTTTAGTATCTGCTTACTCTCTTTGTCTGAAGTCAAAGTTGACTCTTTTTTCTACACATTAAATCAATTAATGTTATATCCATGTCATGCCATATTCCTATATGGATTACCCACAATGAGGTAATCGTGTATATATGATGTATATAGTATAATGAAGGCTTGATATTAGTGTACTTTCAATGTTATTTGCTTTTATCATGTTCCTTATATGCATCCTGATAATGTCTTTATTTAAATGCCTTTTGTTATGTAACTTTTAGTATGTTTTCTTAAATCATTATGCAGTAGATAAACAAATAAATCAGTGAAGATCGCCATCCTTTAGAATCTTCACTTCTGGAAAATCAGTATTGGTCAAGGACAAATCTATCGCTTAATACCCTTCATGACTGATTAGCTAAATAAACTTTCTTCGTAATTTAGCAACGACCTTTCACTTGCTTTGTTTTAAGGTGTAATTTATTAACAAGTTTTTCCATCACTTGGATTTCCAATAAATGTAACAAGTAGCAAAAATAACAATGGTAGATTACTTACATACGATAAATCATTTTCTACAATGTATGTCAAACAAATAACGACTGAAATACAAACTCCAATAGAGTTTTAAACAATATATAGAGAACATTTGCAATTTGTATCGGTTGCAATTCATCTTAATTCCAAATACGAAATTCCTATTAATTGCATGTTGGTGCTGGTCAGCAACCAGTGGAGTTTTATTGTAAGAGATGTGGAATAATTAGTTACCCTGAAAAAATTTCAACAAAAATAAAACAAAAGTTAAAATTAAACTATTGTGTTTTCTGTATTTACTTTGGCCATCAAACTCTATACCATAAAATTCAAATTCAAGAGAGTTGCCAAAGGTTGTAGGCAAGTCGGTAACATAATTTTATGATTTTGATGCTATATACCCCCTATGCTACATAACTCATTTATATATACAAATTTTGTATTAGGAAATAGATATTTATATTTTATATCTTATAGATAAAATTTGTCTTTACAAAGATGACAGCTTTAAATATTAAAAAACAAGTTTTGCATTTCAAAGCAATTTACACGCAATCGGCTGTTAATTGGAATGGAAGACGTGCTACTAAAAAACCAAACAGAGTACCTTTAGTATCTGCTTACTCTCTTTGTCTGAAGTCAAAGTTGACTCTTTCTTTTCTACACATTAAATCAATTAATGTTATATCCATGTCATGCCATATTCCTATATGGATTACCCACAATGAGGTAATCGTGTATATATGATGTATATATAGTATAATGAATAACAAATACAAACTAAAATACAGGGATTATGTTATCTAAAACTATACATCATAATATTTGAATATCACTTGTTCTTATCGCTAATACCCCCCCTTCAAGCAAAGTGGTGGTGGAGCAACACGGAGCTTGGCACGAAATACTTCAAATAATGGACGTGGTAGACTTTTGGTGAAGATATCTGCAAGCTGTAAAGACGTAGGAACAAACCGAGTGTACAAGCGTCCAGATGCAACTAATTCTCGTACAAAATGATAGTCAATGTCAATATGTTTTGCACGCTTGTGGGAGACGGGATTTTGGCTAAAAAATAAAGCACTACGATTGTCGCACAATAAGGTTGGGCGATCAGGTGGAAGTGCATGAAGTTCACGCAGTAAATGAGTTATCCATACTATTTCAGCTGCTGTGTTAGCCATAGCCCGATATTCTGACTCACAACTTGAACGAGAGACAGTGGGTTGCTTCTTAGCACTCCAGGAGACAATGTTGCGGCCAAGAAATATAGAATAGTCATAACTGGAGCGTCGTGTTTCAATGCATCGTTCCCAATCTGCATCCGAGTAACCCACTAAGGAAGAAGTGGGTGGTGGTGTGAAAAGAAGACCATAAGACATGGTGCCTTTAACATATCGGAGGATCCGTTTGACAGCTTGAAAGTGATCGGTTGTGGGAGAATGCAAGAATTGACTTACTTGATTTACCACATAAGACAAGTCTAGACGAGTAATCGTGAGATATTGCAATGCGCCCATGACGAGCGGTCGTTGTCGCGTCAAAAATAAACCTTATTTCCACTAATCTAGCGAGTGGTAAGTAAGGGTCGGATCCAGAAGAGCTTATGGTTAATAGTTTAGTTACTATTTTGATTTAACGATAAAGAAATAATGATTAATTTGAGATTTATAAATATGATGACAAACAAAAAATATATGATTTTAATTCAATTAAAAACAATGATCGCTTCCGGTTTCAGAATTAATAATTATATGAATTAGAAATGAGTGTTATTAATTTTTCATAGTCGATTCAATTAAAGTCTAAGTCCAAAATAGAAAATAAGTGTAACCGCACCCTCCATCCTACACACCGCTATTGGATGATTTGGCACGGTGGGGAGATCACTTAAAATTATTTTAAACTTGGAATAATTAATTGATAAATGAATAAAATAAGTGTAACGATTTTATAATGTTAAAAACATAAACAAAATCCACAAATAATATTCAACAAATTCAAATGTTCACACCCAAAAATAATACAATAAGTAAGAATTAAAACCTACTCCCGGTTGCGATCACGAGAGGATTTAGCCGCGCATTGTAGACTTATACAAACTCATATTTGTATTCTTGAATTCTTGATGTCTTGATCTTGAATCTTGAAAAGTCTTGAATATTTGATGGCTTGAATTCTTTGAAAAAGAAAGGAATTTGGAAGACTAAAATGCTTCCAAAAAAATATAGAAATTTCCTAAAGAAGGTGGTGGTATGAAAGTAGGTTGGTATAAGAGATATAAGAGGTGTCTTAGAGATAAGA